CCATCCCGTTCCGGTGCGTCGAGTGATTCTGAATCTTTCGTCAAAACCATCCATCCATCCATCTATTCATTCGGTTCGACGTCCCGAGCGCTGAGCCTCCGTCTCAACGCACAAGAGTCACAACAGGCAAGCGGACAGACAGACTGACAGCTGCAGCAGGCGTGACTGAACGACTTCCTCTTTGCTGTGTGTGTCCCTTGGTCTGTCTTTTGTCTGTCTGTCTGGGATGAGTGCAGAGATGAGGGGCCGTTCTGCCTGTCTCGCCCTGTGTGTGGCCGTCGGTGCCATCGCCCTGTGCGTGACGGCCACCAGTACGCGTCGCCAGCACATCGACACAGCTTTGCACCAGCACGGTGAGAAATCAATCGCAGCTATCGGCACTTCTGAAGCGACACGCCGGTAGGTGACTGGACTGTGCAGTTCCCTCTGCTCGGCTGTCGGCACTTCTGAAGCGACACGCCGGTAGGTGACTGGAGTCCAGAAGGGAGCCTCGCACATACATACAGTTCCCCCATCCAGCTGCACACATTGTCCCCTCCCCCTTCCTCCGTCCCTTTGTCAAATCCAGCCCCGAAGGCGATGGTCTCACACACCCCGGCCCAGCCCCCTGCCCACCTGGGAGACACCGGTATGCCTGTTCACTGCCCACCCGAATACATGCATCTTGTATGTGTGTATATGTGTCCATGTAGGCCGCATGACGACGTGTGTCGCCTGTGAGGGACTCTCAAGGGCTGAGTGCGAATTTCAGGACTGCAAGACTAAGGACGGCTTCAGCGGCGAGTGTGCGTGGACGGGATCCAAGGGGTGCACGTGTTGGACGGAGGAGGAGGAGGACTAGGCCAAAGACAAGACAGCACACCACAAGTCTTGGACAAGACAGCATAGCCACGACATGCATGATGGGTGCGTACACAATCGAGTGCACTGAGGTGGCAGGCAGAGGGCGGCGAATCACCGATCAATGACGATGTGTCTGTCACTTACGTCAATGACCGTCTGAGAAAGAGGAGAGAGGCCTCAATCACGGGGCAACCAGGCAGTGCAAGCGACCGGGCCCCTGCTTGGCCCACGACATGACACGTTCTCCTCCCGTCTTCTGTCCATTCTCCGTGGAGTGCCCAACTGTCCAGCTGCTGCTGTAAGTGCGGCATTAACAGCCCCCGTGCAACACCCCAAGTGTTGCAAATTTGGTGGTTCCGGCGTTACTAAAGGAAACGTGGTTTCACGTAGGATGCGCCACAGCTACGATGCAAGAGAGGCTCGCGAGCGTTCCCGCGACTCCCATCAGTGGGATGAGCAGCCGCACCACCACGGATCATCCCCGCAGGGCCTGCCGCCGTCCAGCGCTCGCGGCCGGCCGCCTCCCGTGCCCGGCACGACCATCCCCCACACCCAGACCCACGTCATAGGGACGGGCGGCACCAACACGCCCTCATCCACCGGCGCATCTGTCGTGTCAGCGCACCAGGAGAGGATACACAAGCTCTCGCAGCGGCTGTCGGGGCTCCACGCTGGTGAGTCAGGGAGTGAGCCAGATCTCTGCATCATCATGGTGTGCTGCATGGATCGGACCGTGTATCCGTCTTTTGTAGGTTTGGAGATGGAGCGCCAGTCGCGGTTTGAGGTGAGGACAGACAGAAAGGGCACCAGGATGGATGGATGGATGGATGGATGCCCGTATGAATCTCTCCTTTTGTTCCTTCAGCAATTGCAGACCCGGTTGAAGGCTCTCGACGAGCGTGTGGTGCATTCGTCGGAAACGGCGACCAAGAAGATCAACCAAATCAAAGAACAGGTAGGTGGAGGTGGGACAGTGGGCGGGCGGATGCGTTTCATCCATCCATCCGTCCATCCATCCATCTGTCCTCCCATTGATTCGATCAGATGAGTCAGTTCCAGGCTGACATCGAGCAGCAGCGTCAGGCCCTAGAGGACCTCAACCGTACGGACGGTTGAAGGCGCACCGCACACAGGGCAGACAGACAAGTCCTTCCCGTGTGGCCTTTCCGTTTCACTCTCTGTGTACTTGTTTGTATGTGTGCTTACGTGTTTCCCCAGTGCGCAAGCAGGAGGCCATAGAGGGAGTTGACAAGCGGTGGGTCTGGGGAGGGGACACAGGCACACGTCATGTGTGGATTTCCACTTGTCTGTCTGTCTGTCTGTCTGCAATGCGGCGTGCTGCAGCATTAGTGAGATGTTGGAGGAGGAGCAGGCGGCCCTGCGGGAGACCGAGAAACGGCTCATACACACTATCGAACACAAGACCAAAGCACTCTCGTAAGCTAAGCAGCCCAGCAAGGGCCGGCCACAACACCACACCACACCCTATTCTCCCCTCTCCCTGAACAAACACACGAATGCATGTGTGTGTGTGTGTGTGTCTGTTTGTCGAGTGTGTGTGCAGTGAGGCCATGTTGTCCGAGAAGAAGAGCCGCGAGGCCAGCCAGGAGCAACTAAGGAACTACCTAGAGGTCAGCCACCTCAACCCACCCCACCCAAGCACCAAACCGATACACATGTCTGTCTAGAGTAGAGGTGTGCGTACGGCTGCATCCATCCATCCCTCCATCCATCCACTGGCTGTGCGCTGCAGGCGGATATCCCCAAGTTGTGTTCGTCGCTGCGCGATGAGACCGCGCAGCGGGAGGCCATGGAACAACGGTCGGTCAGTCGGGAAACAATGAGGGAAAGGAGTGCAGCAGTGAAAGGGGAGAGACGGATTTTGTTTATGAGACAGGAGAGCGAGCAATCAACGCTCCACACACCACACCACACCATCCCTCCCTCCCTCCCTCCCCCTCTGTATCTCAGTTTGTTGGGCAGCGCCATGGATGAGATCAGTCGGCTGCGGCAGCAGCTGCACGACGAGGAACATGCCAGGTGGGGGAGTGGGTGGACGTCATGTCACGTCACATCACACACATGCCACACAACTTCTACTTGCGGTGTGTGTCTCAATTGATTGCTGCTGCAGGAGGGTCATGGAGGAAGAAGTGTACAAGCTGGTCGAGGACGTAGTCGCCAAAGTCAGGCACGAAATCGCACTGGTACGCACCTACCCCACCGAACCGCACATCCGATTGACCAACACACACATGCCATTCCGTTCCACTCCCCCTCCCCCTCCCCCTCCCCCTCTCGGCTGGTTGTTTGTCAACACACGTATCCTATGCTTACCCACAGGAGCGTCAGGAGCGTGAGGCTACGGAGGAGACTTTGCTGCGGCTGCTCGAGGAGACGTGCACCAAACTCAACGACGCAGCACAAATCGAATGATTGATGGGGCCGGGCCGACAGCCGTGTAGCCAGCCGGACGGGGCGATGGGTGGGGGTGTGGTGTGTGGGTGATACGGGGCAGGACGCATGGACCGTCTGGTTGGCTGGCTGTGGTAACTAGTGTGAATGGAATGGAATGGCTGTCTGTCAGTTTGTCTGTGCGGAAAGGAAAGTGTACCTAGCAGTCAGCCATGGACCGGACAGACATCCATCCCTGACATCCATCCATCCATCCATCGGTGGCCGCCCTTAGACCCAAGGCAGCGAGCGAAATCCCGCACTCTGTCCACATCATAGTTATACACACACGAAAGCTTCCCGGATGTCAATCACATCCGTCACCCCCACTCCTAGCTTGACGTCTGTGCCTTATGGCCCTCTAGCTGGATCCCGCGTTGCTCGAGGCACTTGGGGCACTCGCACACAAACAAGTAGTGCATCAGCTTCTCCTGCCGACTCGCCAGAGGCAGAGAGCAATCGATGTACGAGATGCACAGCTCCTCACCGGCACTTATCTGGCCGCACACCACACCACACACAGCGGGAGTGCAGTGCGCAGGAGTTGATCTCCCCTATCTTCGATGGCTTAGGTAGGTCCATACTTCTCTCAGTGTGGTGACAGTCAGTGT